GGATCCAGCCGACGGTGGATTCAGGATGGCTGAAGGCTCCCAGCATCTGCACTGGCCGTGCGCCGCCGCCTTCCCTGACCGATACGCTCTGACACTGCCTCGGGGACCACAAGTCACCCAGAAGGGAGCTGACAAGCACCGGAGGGGCTGAGGAGGGCCCGCAGGGACCCAAGCCACGCTTTATTTAAGGGACTCAGCAGCCAGGGATGTGGGGAGCCGTGGGAGGGCCTGGAACCACTTCCCTGGGGACACAGGGGGGCGCTGTGCCTATATTTGTACCCTACTGGCTCCGCTCCTCTGGAGAACTGTGAGTGACACGGTCACCCAGGCGTGGCTCCTGGGCAGGGACCACACAGGCCAGCACCGGCACCACCCCGGCCCATGTGGCCAGTACTGGATAAGGGGTGTCAGGGGCAGGTCCCTGCTCTGCCAAATCGGTACCAGGTGGGCAGGGTCCTTCAGTCTTCCCTTGGCTCAGGATCCAAGGCCCTGGGTGTGGGTGGCCCCCCAGGACAAGCAGCCTGCTGAGCAGAAGGAGCCTGGGGGCTGCTCCTTGGCAGGAAACGCAGGCCCTACACGAGCTGCCGGAGGGCGGCGCTGCTGGCGACAGCAGCTGAGGTGGTGCCGCCTAAAACACACCGGTGGCAGGCCTGGGAGTCCAGGTGGAGCCGGCCCTTTCGTCCCCTGGTCCAGGGCCATGTCACCTGGCCACCTTCACACGGCCACGGAGGAGTCGCCAACACGCACGCTGCCACAGATAGGCGCTCAGTAGCAGCCAGGGAAACGCGTCCGGTGCCCACAGTGAGAAATCGCAGCACAGCCAGTGGAATGGCTGGGGTTGAGCTGGCGGCAGCTGGGACCCTCCCGGGAGGCAGAGCAGACACGTGCAGCAGCCTCTCTGGGGTTAAACTCTCTCCCATCGCATGACCAGGAGCAACATTCCCGACAGCTCTGCTCACTGGAGCCCGGGCAGAGGCACCGTCCAAACGCGCACCAGCGGGAGGGGGCCTGAAGCCATGTGGTGTCAGCACACAGGGCTGTGAGCTCCCCAGCCACTGCTCGCCGCGGGGACACAGGCATTGGGGGGCCAGTCCGGAGCACAGACCCTGGGCCCCCAGTACAGGAAACCCAACGACAGGCACAGGAAAGGTGCCAGGAGCAAATCGGAGTTGCTGGGTTTTTGTTAAACCCTGAGGAAAAAGTGCCCCACCGCTGGGAGGCCAGGAATCTCACACAGTCCCAACCGACTGCACCCAGGAGATCCTTCCGCCAGGACGCCTGTCCGGCAACCGTAGTCCCTCCTCGGACTGCCACCACCCTTGCCATTAATCCCGTGGCCAAGGATTGCAGCCCCCTCCCTCTGCCTTTCACAGCCTCCCCTCTCTGACACGCACAAGGGTTTCACCATGGCACACGCACTTCCCCCAGCCCTTGCTACTCCTGAACAATGCTTGTCACTGTGGGGGCTTCTCTGTTGGGATTTAGGGTGACAGGCATGGCAGGCCCGTGAGGACAGAACCGGAGGCACAGCTGCCCGCTGGGACGGGAGGCGTGGCTGGGTAGCAGCACGCGGACAGAGCTTTCTGCCTGCCCATGTCAAATGCACGGAACTGTTCCCATGACCTGTGCGTTGTGCCGTGCACCCAGCTCGCCTCTATCAAGTCAGTGTAAAACGGGGCACGGAGTGACAGCCACAGAAAGCCCAAGCGTGAGCAGAGCCCAACAGGGCCTTCTTGAGACCCCTCTCCACCCTCAGCACCCAGCTCAGGTTCCGTCTCCTCTGTGATGCTGGCCTGGGGCTCTCCCTCCACCCTGGGAGGCAGGGACGCCCCCTCCTCTGCCCATTCTCCAAATGCCCACAACAGCTAGGGCTGGACAACCCCATAGCCCCACACAGCACAGCAGGGTCCTTCCTCTCGGTTCCCCCGGCTAAGACGCCGCGCCCTAACCCCAGGCTCCAGCTGTGTACCCTGATCCCCGTTTTCTCGACAGGCCACGGGTCACACGAGCCCTCCGCTGTCGGAGACCTAGCCCACGGCTGCAGGCTCTGGAACTGGAGGAAAGAGCCATGAGAGACGACGCTAGAAGCTGGAGGGGGCAAGAAAATAGCCTCCCCGGAGCTCCCTGCCGACGGCACCCGGTCAGAGCGTTCGGAATTCTGACTTCTGCCAGGGAAACTCCGTGTGGTCTGAAGCCACTAGGTTTGGGGCCATCTGTTCTAGCTCCCGAGCTCCTGTGCTGACACGTGGGGCGGGGCGTGCTCTGCACACGGCAGTGTCACAAGCTCACGAAGGCACCTTTGGCCCACGGAACAGCCACACACTGGGTGCCAGGGTCGAGCTGTCTGGGGCCCAGGACAGCCCTGAGCGACCTTCTCCGGGAGGGGCCAGGGGCCCCAGAACGGGAAGCCCTGCTTGGGCACAAGCCCAGGCAGACAGCACACGTGTGCGGCGGGAGTGAGAACGCCCTTCCAGGAATCCGACAGCCGACACCGACGGGAGCACCGCCCGCTCCCTCACAGGATGTGCGTCAGCCTGGCAAGTGCTGCCTCACCCACCCCCATGTGGGGACCCCGCCAGTGCAGCCGGGAAAGCCACACGCTCTCATCCCAGGATGTGGGGCGATCCTGGCAGGTGGGCGGGAGACGCTGACGGGGGGGGGGGGGAGGCAGGCTGCTCCCGCTGCCCTGCCTTGTGCTGCCTGCTCTCCAGAAACCTCCACTGCCCAGAGGGTGGAGAGGGCAAGCAAGGCCCGGTGTGGCCTGCAGGCAGGCCTCCAGGACTGCCCACCCAGCCTCGGCACAGCCAGCACACTGGGAAGAGTGGTACCCGGAGCAGGGCGGGCCTCGGGAGGCAGGTGCCGGGACAGGAGCCAGCTCCAGGCGACGAGGCCCCGGGGAGCCACAGAGGAAGGGCAGAGGCAGCCTGGGAAGCGAGGGCAGGTGGCCTGGGGCAGGCCAGGGGCCTGTGGGGGCAGGAGTTCCAGTCTGCATCTATAGCCCAGGATTCTCACACCAGGACAAACCTGCTCCTGTGGCTGTTGACCCCCGCCCAGCCTTGCTGCCCCCAGCAGAGCAGGACGAGCCTGGACATGTGACCCGGAATCCCCACATGCTCTGCTGTCTGAGTCTGGCACAAAAGGGCCCCAGGACACCATGTTCCCACAAAGAAAAGCCTGTTCTTGCAGGGCCACTCCTGTCCGGGAAGGGCACGGTCTGAGGAAGGCACTGGGCCATTAGGAGTTCCAGACATGGGGACATCACCTGGCCCCCTGGAGCACGTGCCTGCAGACCTGCCAGGGCCAGGCCGACCCGACGGGCGTGGGAGCCACTAGCAGGAAACTTCAGAAAACCAGGGTGAGTGTGCATGCAGAGCACGGCCCTGCACCGGCAGACGCGGCCAAGTCCACGACCGCCAGGCGCACGCGGGCTCAGTGTCTCAGACGAGCACCTGGGAAGAGGCAGAGACGCTCCGCACGTGAGCACAGCACGCCCCGACTCTCCTATAGAGACGCTCCCCCTGTGAGCACGGGCACACCCCGACTCCCCTATAGAAAGAGACGCTCCCCCTGTGAGCACAGCCACGCCCCAACTCCCCTATAGATAGAGATGCTCCCCCTGTGAGCACGGCCACGCCCCGACTCCCCTACAGATAGAGACACTCCCCCTGTGAGCACGGGCACGCCCTGACTCCCCTATAGATAGAGACGCTCCCCCTGTGAGCACGGGCACGCCCTGACTCCCCTATAGATAGAGACGCTCCCCCTGTGAGCATGGCCACGCCCCAACTCTCCTATAGAGACGCTCCCCCTGTGAGCACGGGCACACCCCGACTCCCCTATAGATAGAGACGCTCCCCCTGTGAGCACGGGCACGCCCCGACTCCCCTATAGATAGAGACGCTCCCCACGTGAGCACGGCCACGCCCCGACTCCCCTATAGATAGAGACGCTCCCCCTGTGAGCACGGGCACGCCCCGACTGCCCTATAGATAGAGACACTCCCCCTGTGAGCACGGGCACGCCCTGACTCCCCTATAGATAGAGACGCTCTCTCTGTGAGTACGGGCACACCTCGACTCCCCTATAGATAGAGACGCTCCCCACGTGAGCACGGCCACGCCCCGACTGCCCTATAGATAGAGACACTCCCCCTGTGAGCACGGGCACGCCCTGACTCCCCTATAGATAGAGACACTCCCCCTGTGAGCACGGGCACGCCCTGACTCCCCTATAGATAGAGACGCTCCCCCTGTGAGCACGGCCACGCCCCGACTCCCCTATAGATAGAGACACTCTCTCTGTGAGCACGGGCACGCCCCGACTCCCCTATAGATAGAGACGCTCCCCCTGTGAGTACGGCCATGCCCCGACTCCCCTATAGATAGAGACGCTCCCCACGTGAGCACGGCCACGCCCCAACTGCCCTATAGATAGAGACGCTCCCCCTGTGAGCACGGGCACGCCCCGACTCTCCTGTCTGCACGGCTTTCTCCAAGCCATCGCCTCTGTAACCGATCTGTCGGCACTCATTTTCAAGCAACTTGTAGCGGGCGCTACCCCTGGGACTCTAGGATGGATGCAAGACTGACTACCCCCCTCCGCCCCCGTAGTGGAGACAGAGATGGAGCAGTCCTCCCTCCACCCAGGGCTCTCAGGGCAGCAGGGGGTCCTGCCTGTGAACAGGAAGCCCCCTGCTTTACAGCCAGCAGCTTAAGAGCTTGGGAAGGCCATCAGTTCCCCCACCGGGACGTGGTTCTCTGGAGGCCAGGATGCAGCCCCCAGCCTTCTGGGGCCAGGACTGAGCAGCCCCGGAAGCATGAGTGTCCACGCTGTCTTGCGAGGAGTTTCTGGTTTGCACAAAGCCCAGTGGAATGGCACGCACCAGCCACCCTGTTGGATTTGGAGAAATCTCCAGCAGCACACGGCCCGGTGCCGCCACCCCCAGCCCGAGGGGGCAGGAGTGCTGAGAAGGGAGGGGCTCGCGCCCGGCGCCACCTTACCTGCCTGGCTGTCCCTGAGCTTGCAGTGCACCTCCTCCACGCACGCGGCCGGGAACCACCCGACATGGCCGCGGGCACTGCCCTCCCAGAAGCCGCCTTCGCCGATGCTCAGGACTGGAGGGGAGAGAAAGGGGACAGCGTTAGTGGAGAACGGGGCCAAGGCAGCTGGGCAGCGGCAGAGGTCAGAGGTGCCCACGTCCCTCCCGCTCCTTCGGAGGGCACAGCGCCTGCCGCCCCAGACACCTGGACCCTGTAGATGGTGGAGAATGAGGCCCCGGCATCCTGTCACCTGAGGCTCCCGCCCCACGTCCTAGGAGCCCACGTGCAGCCTGAGACAGCAGGTGGCAATGGACGGCCTGGCCTCCAGGGACTTCCGATGTGAGAGTGGGGGGTAGGCAGCCCCTGGGGAAGAGAGGTCCTGAGGCCCTGTGGCTACTCCTCAGCTGGAGAGGGGCTGGCGGGGGAAGGGTGAGGACAACCCACTCCAATCTTGGAACCCAGCCTGATGACCGACACAAACTCACAAAAGACGGGCCAGTGGCCCATGTGTCAGCTCACATGTCCTACAGCCATGTGACATCATCACATTTGAAACAGAAAGGGCCAGGTGCAGAGCCTCGCCTGACCGGCACACGGGGGCCCTGGCTGTCCACATGCTGACATACTCGTAACAAACGCTGACCAGTGCTGGGAGTTCTTTCTGACTCGTGGCCGAGAGACCCAATCGCCTTCCAGGGGGCGGAAGTGGCTAGTCAGCGCCCATGTCCTCAGAGGCCACAGGGCACAGGACGGCCACAGCCACCCCAGGGTGGGGGTGCATGTCCAGGCTTAGGGGTCCCTCGCTGGACCCAGCGCTGGGTGCACGTGGGCCCCGAATGCAGTCTTTCAGCCTTGACTGAGGGAGCGTGAGTGAGGGACCCCAGCCGGAGACACTGGGGGTGGAGAGTTGAATGCTGCAGGACCCCGTTTCATAGATTTCAACAGCCCGGGCAAAGCTCTCGATGTGGCAGGGCGGGGAAGGGAACCGGCGTCTCAGGACCGCAGGGCTGGGCTGTGGCCGCCCCTACGCCCTCGAGCCCTGTGAGCATGGCTATGCAGCATCTCCCCACACCTCCACCAGGCGGGGCCCCCTGGCTCGCCCCCGTACTGCCAGGGCCATGCAGAGCCCACTGGGCCACGACTGCTGAGGGGTACTGGAGAAGCACACAGGAGAGGCCGAGTTCCTCCCTGATCATCTGAGAAATGGACCTCAGCGAAACAGGAGCCGCAGGCCAGCTGACCGGGACATCTCCCACAATGCCCGAGTGTCCCGGATCTGAGGAATGCCCAGGGCTGCAAAGGGCGGGAGGCCAGGCAGGGGCCGGCTGGAGCCGGTGCCATGTGCCTTGATTCTCAGTGGGCAGCAGGCCATTCGGTGACTTCTAGGGGGCTGGGGAGACAGGACCGCTTAGGGAGAGCTGGGTATCCTCTTGGGGGGGCGCCCTGTCACACGCTGGTCTCTGCAGCACTCGGGAGAGCGTGCTAACAGCTCCGTGCCTGTTCCTCACTGCTCAGAGGGGAATGACAGCACTGGGCGCACAGTGCAAAGGGGCTCGCTTCCTCCCTGCCCTGGTTCTGAGTTTCAGCTCTGCCAAGTACGGGCGTCGTCAGGAGACCCACAGGTGCAAGACCATTCCCAGCTGGCTGGAGAGCGCGGAGACAGGGAACAGCCAAGTACAGGTGGCCCCTGCAGAGGAATCACCCAGCCGGGGGGGGGGGGGGCGGGGGGGGGGGGGGCTCACTCCAGCAGGGGGCCCGGGGAGCAGGGGAGGGAGAAACATCGTGGCAGGTGGACAGCAGGGTCTGCCTGGGTCTCTGGCGGAGAGACCCAGAGAGAGTGGAGGCCGAGGGAGGGGTGGGGTGAAGGCAGGACCCTGAGGCCCCAGGGGGAGCAGCTCAGGCATTGGCATACACATGGGGGACGGGCCTGGGGGGTGCACCTGTGCTCACACACCTGGGCAGGTTCTAAGGGCCTGCCTGATGGGAACACCTGGGCCAGGTGGGCGGGCACTCCTCGCCCAGTGAGGAGGGGCCTAGGCTTGCACCATGCCCCCCACTGCTGATTTACATCATTCAAAAGTGGACACACCTCTCCTTGTGTGAGACGGGCAGGACCAGAGGACACTCCCCAGGAGCACGGCACACACGGCTCAGTGGGCCTCTGCACCCTCTCGGAGCGGTCTGTGTGGGGCTGTCTCTCCTTGGGGCAGTCCGCATTCCGCGTGTGTCGTGCCAGGGCTCTGCCCTCCTTGGAGTTGCCAGATGGGCTCAACCTGACCCCAGCCCAGGATAACTTCCCTGGCCCCCACTGAGCTCTGAGGGGACCGGACACAGGGCAGGGTCCTGGCTTCTGGTTCCTCTGAGCCTCGGCCTGCTCATCCCTCAGATGGACAGAAGACTGGCCGAGAAGACCCGGGGGTCCCTTCCTGCAGAGGGAGCTCGAGCCCCCCGCCCCTACCCCTTCTGGCCCTGCTCAGGCCCGAGAGGGGCCCCTGGTGCAGAGAAACAGCCAGAAAGCATTTTCTAACCAAGGACCTTGGGTCTCCCAACCCTGCAGAGGTCAGCAGCAAGGTCAGCAGCTGGTCTTGACCCTGGTGCGGGCTGACCAGCTCCCTGGCTACCGGCCATGCAGTCCTGGATTCTCCATCACTCGGTGGCTCAGGACCAGGCTCACGATGGGGTCGGGGTGGGGAGGTCTGGTCAGGCTGGGGGTGGGGCCCTGGCTGCTGCTTCTCATCCGTGGGCAAGGCACGGGCACAGCCAGGAGGAAGGGGGACCTGGGAGGAGTGTAGGAGAGGCAGTGTCGGGGGACAGTGAGTCCAAGCTGGGCTCAGGGTCAGACAGACTGGGTGGGAATCCCTAGCACATCGTGGTGAGACAGGGTGGAGGCTCCTCCCTGTGACTGACTGACAGCTGCCACAGACTGGGGTCACGGCTGATCTGTGTCCCCCCCAGAGTGACACGTGCTGCAGACCGGGGTCACAGCTGACCTGCATCCCCCCAGAGTGACACCTGCCACAGAATGGGATCACAGCTGACCTGTGTCCCCCCAGAGTGACATGTGCTGCAGACCGGGGTCATGGCTGACCTGTGTCCCCCCAGAGTGACACCTGCCACAGAACGGGGTCACAGCTGACCTGTGTCCCCCCAGAGTGCCACCTGCCACAGACAGGGTCATGGCTGATCTGCGTCCCCCCAGGGTGACACGTGCCGCAGGCCAGGGTCATGGTTGACCTGCGTCCCACCCGAATGACACTTGCCGCAGAATGGGGCCACAGCTGACCTGCCTCCCCCCAGAGTGACACCTGCTGCAGAACGGGATCACAGCTGATCTGTGTCCCCCCAGAGTGACAGCTGCCACAGAACAGGGTCACAGCTGGCCTGCATCCCCCCAGGGTGACACGTGCTGCAGACCAGGGCCACAGCTGACCTGCATCCTCCCAGAGTGACACGTGCTGCAGACCGGGGTCATGGCTGACCTGCATCCTCCCAGAGTGATACCTACTACAGATCGGGGTCACGGCTGATCTGTGTCCCCCCAGAGTGACAGCTGCCACAGAATGGGGTCACGGCTCATCTGTGTCTCCTAACCCGCCGGACCCCAGCACGAGACTGCATCTGGAGATGGGCCTTGCAGGAAGTACTTAAATTCAGTGAGGTCATTTAGGAGGGAGGGCCCTGGTCCCACAGGGCTAGGGTCCTTCTAAGAAGAAGAGATGAGGACAGAAGGATGACCACATGAAGACACAGGGAGGACATCTCATGCCAGAGACAGAGGAGCCAGCCCCGTGACCCCTGCACCTGGACCTGCGGCCTCCAGGACCACGTGGCAGCGCAGGTTTAAGGCCCGGCCTGTGGGGCTCGTCACGTCCATCTGGGCTGCTGCCCCCGTCCAGAGCCAGTGTGCAGCTCATGCACAGGACACGGTGGCCATGCCTGGCACCAGGCCTGCTCCTGGCAGCTCACCCACGTCCGCCTCTACCCTCTTCACCATCTTCCACTGCTCCGGGGTCATCTCTGATTTATGGAGAAGGACACAGAAACCGGAGGAAAGTGGCTGACCAGAGGCCAGCCTGGCTGTGCCTGCTCCGAAGCTGGGCTGTGGATGGGGAGCTGGGTCCTCATTGGGTGAAGGCAGGGGCTCTGCCAACTTCAGAGTCTGGGTTGAGTGGGGAGGCCTGAGGGATGTTTTGGGGTCACAGGGCAGGGCGGGGCCCAGGCTGCAGCTTGGGCGAGCTGTGTCTTCACCCAGGCCCTGGGGTCCCTGGCCCCCTGGGCAGCAGATGCAGCTGACCCTGGGGTTGCCAGGAGGACACGTGATTATTTTCAGCACAGCTCCCAGCACAACTGGGCAATGGGCTCCTCCACACAGCAGCTCTGTGAACCTGCTCACTGCCCGGTTCTCAGAACAGTCTGGCAATGGCTGCCTCCATAGGCAGCCCACGAGGAGGGTGGTGAGGGGCCCCGGCCATGACGGCTGAGGCAGGTGCAGGGACGCCCATGGGGCCCGGCCTTCTCTGGTCCCCGTGCCCTTCTCCAACTGCAAGCTCAGCTCGTGCACCCAGAGGAGCTCACAGAAGCCACACGGTCCCGTCACCTGGAACAGAGCCGTGGCCAGCGGGACCATCAGCTGTGGGGCCTCCCAGTTGCACCCCCGACAGTGCCCTCCCACACCTGTGGAGCCCTGGGCGAGTGACAGAATCTCGGCAGAGGCAGCAAGGGTGCAGGGAGAGGTGGCTCCCCCACCCCCTCCCTGAGGTGCAGGGACTGTAAGAGGGGACTCTAGCTCACGGGAGGCCACACACTCAGCCGGGACGTTCTGGACAAGGGGGCTTGCGCGGGCAAGGGGAGGAAGCTGAGAACCAGTGAGCCATGTCCACAGAGGCCACGTCCTGTGCACCACGGGTGAAGGTGCTACACAGGAACTCTTGTAGGATCAGCTGGGCATGACCCAGTGCACAAGGAAGAGAGTCTGCAACGTGACGTGCTACCGCATTACTAAAATTTAAAATTGAGGTCATATGAATGTTTACAGCTATAATTTAAGCACTAACAAAAATACCGTGTTAAATTACATTGCGGAATGAAATCCGGGGACTTCTGCTTAAGGATGTGGTGAACAAGGTCCCTCGTGAATATCACCAGCGAAAGCCACTCTCAAACCTAAACTCAAAGTAGGGCGCAGTCACCCCAAGGGGCTGGAAGTGGGATGGAAATAGCCAGGCTGGGCAGGGACACGTGCCTGCCTGGAGTAGGGGGAGGGGGCTGAACCAGAACGTCTCTCCCCCATGGCGTCTGAGCCTGGGCTAAGAACAGGGCCAGTGGTGAGGGGCACAGGTGAAAAATCCCACAATCTAAGCAGCCTGGATATTATGGATTCTGCAGATCACAGGTAAGGGCCCCGCAAGGGACAGAGCCAGAGAGGGGCTGGCAAACCCACTCCACTAACCCCGGCGTGTCCAGTCCCCAAACAGCGTGGGCACCAAACATGTACGTGGCAGCTCAGCTGAAGCAATGGAGAGCTGTCACCCTAGCAACCTGCTGAAACAAAATGAAGAAACCACGGGAGAACAGCATCAGACAACAAAACTCCACAACTCAACAGGTTAATGCCCAGAACACAACAGAAAATCACCGGACACGTGCAGTCCTGGGACAAAGCAGCCTACTCGCAAGAGAAGAATCGATGGAGCTCAAAGCCAGACCAACCTGGCATTGTAACTGACCGGGGCTTTTACGTGGTGACTGCACTAAACCCCACTCTGTAAAATAAAACGCGATTCCAGTGGGCAAAATAATCTCCCCCAAGTAGCAGGAGTTCTTGGCACAAAAAAGGAGTGACGAAAACATACATGGGGAAGCTATTAAACATGTGGTGTCGGAAATGACAAAAGCCAGGTGAGGGACCTCACAGCTTAGGGGCAATTTCAGAGGAACGAGGAGTCAACAGAAGTGATGGCTGTGAAGGAAGAGTGGGGGCGCTCCGGGCACTTGTCTGAGGGGTCGGTGGGGGTGGGGTTCCGTCACCAGCTGCCTCTCGCAGGGGCACCCTGCCCAGCATGCAGCACACAGAGGTGCACAGCCAGTTGCCTGCTGAGGACTCGATGGTGCCAGAGTGGGGAGGGCAGGACCTGCACCCAGCCTGACCTCGAGGGAGCCGCTCTCCACCTTGCGCCAGGCGTCCTCCAAGGGCAGGGCCTGGGCATGCTGAGTGCGTGTGATGTCCCTCCCCTGCCCCCACCCCGGGGGTCCCGGCTGCCCCTGCATCCCACGACTACCACAGCCCTCAGATGCCGCTGCCGACTGCCCTCCACCCTGTAGATTCTGCCATGTCCTCCTGGGACCCCATGCTCGGATCTCCCTGTGCAGAGACCACCGGTGGCACAAAGTCCAATATGCAGCCAGGCGGCAGCCCCCAAACCACTTCCCAGCTCGGACACTGTGATGAGAACCACCTCCTGCCCTCCCTTCAGACAACACGGCCGCTGGGCCTTGCCTTCTGAGGGACCGGCCACCGGGATATTCCCAGCCCAAGCTGTGCCAGAGGCTGCCCCACCCCACTTCTTCACAGCCCCGGGGGTGCTGCACACAACACACTAGTCTGCTCTTGCCTGCACGCCCCCGAGGGACTCGCCCTCCCCCGGGTGTGCGCGGTCTCTCTCCCCCTCAGACACAGTGAACGCAGGGCACAGGTGCACGTCACCGTGTCCTCCACGCCTGCCCTCCCAGGGGTCTCATCTTCCTATGTCTCAAAGGCTGCCGGCCCAGGAAGCTGGCCGAGGGGTCCCAGGCCTGACCTTTAACCCTGTCGCCACGGTGGAGGGGGATCTCGCCGTCGACTTGGGGTTGGTATGGCTTGACGACGACGAACAACCTCCCAGGCACTGCACTGTACAGCTTCCTCCTGGGCCCCGGGTAATCGGAGGCAGACAGTGGGTCCTTGCTGGCACCAGGGGCAAAAGGTGACCTGGAAGAGGGGGAGGCAGACAGAGAGGAGGGTCAAAGGGCACACCCACACACAGGGACCCAGCCGTGAGCAGTCCCATCAGAACCCTGATGCCAGCCAGCAATGAGGACATGGCAGGTCTGGGGCTAAGCTGTAACCAGACCCAGCAACCCCACTCCTGGGCTCACATGCATGAGCACTGACTCAGAGCAGGTAGGAGGAGGGAGCAGCCCGTGTGTCCATGCACAAGGAATGTGCTAGACGTGTGGCATGACAGTGGAGTATTACTCAGCCCTGAAAATGGAAGGAGTCTGACACCTGCTACACCAAGGACAAACCAGAGGAGGCTGTGCTCTGTGAAGTGAGCTGGTCACAGAGGAACAAGAGCTGGGTGGGTGCACCTGCAGGGCCCCCAGAGGATTCAGAGCCACAGAGAGGAGCTAGAACGGGTAGGGGACGCAGAGCGGGTGCTTAATGGGGACAGGGTTTCCGTTGGGGAAGGCTCCCGAGACGGACGAGCTGATGGCGGACGTGAGGTCCTGAGGCCCTGAGCCATGCACCTAGATGCGGTCATGCGGTGACTGTTAGGTTGTGGACAAGGCCATTTTGCCAGATAAGAAAAGGGAGACGTGGGCCGAGGCGGGAGCGGAGGGCGCTCTCCTGGGTTCCCCGAGAGCGTGAGTCACAGCGGTGGAGGAAGCACCGGAACCCTCATGGGGCGATGGGCACAGACAGGTGCACCCCCCCACCCCAGGGACTGCCAGCGCCTCCTCCCGGAGCAGAGCGACTCCTGCAAGCTCCAGGTTGCTTCTGTGCAATGCGGCAGCCCAGCCGGCGAGCAGCTCGCAGGGAGGAACGACCCGCTGGGCCACGAGCCCAGGAGGCAGACGCGTGCAGGCAACGGAGTGGCCCCATCGCATCCCCACCTGAGCGGGTTTCCCATCGGCCCGCTGATCCGTGCGCATGTGACAAGGACCGGACTCGGTTGCTCAGTCTGCCTCAGCTCACTCCCCGCTGGCTTGGTCCAGGGCAGAGCAGAGATGGGAGCACGGAGGGACGAGGGCCGCGGCACTGGCTCCTCCCTGCCTCCCAGGCCCGGGGCAGGGGCGGGGGCGTCCCACAGCCCGGGCAACTCAATGCCCCTGCCCCAGGGATCGCCGCCCTGTCCCTGCAGCCACAGGGTGGGGGTGGGGTCGGGACAGGGTGGAGAACCCCAGCGCCAGGCTTCCTCAGCCCCAGAGCTCAAGAGCTTGATCCTGCCCCATCGCCCTGAGGGGCAGAGGTGGCATGGCTGGTAGCCAAGTGCCCGGCTTTGTGGGCTGTCTCCAGCGCCCTCACTCCCGGGCTGACCTGACCCTCTCGCCGTGTGACCTTGAGACTGTCACTTTACCCGCCCAAGCCTCCATTTCGCCCCCTGTGTGCCGGCTGTGGAGGGCGGTGGGAAGAGCCCACAGCAGGGACTGCTGATGTAGCCCTCGGCAAAGGGCCGGCCCCGTCACTGCAGCCAGACGGCAGTTACCGGGTCCGTACCTGACCATCCCCAAGGTCGACTCTCAGCAGCCGGCGCACAGGTCACGTGGACGCTGCCTCAAGCTCCCCTGGCTGGGCTGCAGTGAGGGTGCTTGGAAGTGTCCAGTGCAGCCCAGCTCACCAAGGAGCTGCAGCGTGGCCCGGGCAGTGGGGCTGTGCTCCCGGACGCTGGTGTGGCTGCAGTGGACACGGGGTGCAGGGAGCGGACAGCGGCTCAGCGAAGCTCCACCATCAGGCCCAAGCATGGCAGTCGACTGCGAGGGCTGCTGGCCACTGGGGAGGGGATGAGCAAAGCCCGGAGAAGTGAGGATACCCAGCGCCCAAGGCAGCCAGGGCAGGGCAGAGGCCGAGCCCTGAAGTCAATCCTGAGGCTCCTGTCCAGAGCTGGGGAACCAACTGAGGATCCCCGGAGCCCAAGGCACACCTTCCCTCACAGCCTGCGTGGACACCGATCCATCCGTCCACCCATCTGTCATCCACCCACTCACCCACCCATCAATCCATCCATACAACATCCATCCACCCAACATTCATCCACCCATCGTCCATCCATCAGTCCATCCATCCACCCATCATCCACCCACCCACGCGTCTTACCTCTTATCTGAACAGCGTCTATTCAATCTCCCGTCCACATTTCAGACAAACCCTGCTCAGACCACAGTGGACCACTCACTACCAGACACTGCACAGGTCGACCTCCAAGCCTCACCTCCCCATGTGATGAGAGAGGACCCTGAGGAGCGCATTCTCGGCACGGGTGTCGTGCAGATGCTGGCCCCCCCCAGCCCCCTGCTGCAACTGGGAAGTGGGCGGCAAGAACCACACTGCACACCTGGCTCAAGCTGGTGCCAGAGTGTGTGTCTCGGGACAGAGAAGTCCACAGGAACACAGCTCCGCTCTGGCCCAGATCCCAAGTCAGCTCGCTCATCCACCACCCCGAGGACCCAGCAAGGACTGGACGATGGACGTACCGTACACGGCCCTAAGCATCCACAGCAAGGCTCGCCCTGGCCCAAATGCACAGTGTCCTCCCTGCTGTTTATCCACCCCCCCTAGAGACCCACAAGGCTAGGAAGGTAGGAACCTCTGCACCCATTTAACAGGGGAAATGGAGGCTCCACGCAAACCGACCTAGGCATGGTGATATGGCACTGACCCCGCAACCCGGCTCGCTGCGCGTAGGGAAACAGAACAGGCGGCCACACGCTCACCTTCAACAGAGGGGTCATCTCCATCACGCCTCAGGCTACAAGCCATGCCTTCTGGCCAGGACTGCGACTCCCACGGCCACCCCAGAGCCCGGGGTGAGGGTGGCTGCCCCTCTCCGGAGAGGAGGCAGGGAGGCCATGCCGGGGCCATACCAGGGCCCCCTCCCTCCTGCCTGCACAGTCAGGAGGGTCTGCACTGCCCCCACCCTGAGCCGACCATGCTGTCCTTGGGACTTGGCCAAGAGCAGCCAGATGGAATTCCATTCAATTTGTTCCAGCCGGAGGGCTGATCACCGAAATCTGGAGATCAGAAACACAGCGGCATCTCCTGTGGGGTGACTTGGATGAGTGGGCGGGGACCCGGGGACCCGCCCACACACTCAACCTGCGCCACTCATTCATCAGTCAGCGACGCACCCATTCATTCATTCCCTTAGCAAGTGCCGGCCCCAGCTGCACCGGATCTGAGCGGGGTGCAGAAGCGACGTGCAGCTGGGCACTGGAGACACTTTGGGTCAGCCCGGTGCGCTCTGGTGAAGCAGAGTGGTGGCAGGGAGGGCAGCTCCAGTCCCTCGGTCAGGGGCAAAGCCAGCAGGCCCCCAGTCACTCTGGCTGCGCCATTCAGGCCACAGAGTGGAGGAGGAGAGCTCCTGGGAGACGAGGGCCAGGGCTGGTGTGCGGCTGGTGAAGTGGAGATAATCAGAGACGGCCTGTGTCTCATCTTGAGACCCACCAGACACGGCTGTGCGTCTCCGCACGGAGGAGGGATGGGAGGCGGCCACTGGAGAGAGGCCAGCTTGGACAGTGGCACATCCAGCGCAGAAATCTCAAACCCTGATGGCCGGTCAGCTTCCCCGGTTGCACCCACAGCGAGGTCTGAAGTGAGAGAGCTCAGAGCCCATGGCACTCCAGGTCCCGGCACCATCAGCTCCTCTCTGCACCCCCACCCAGGACTCCGAAGAAGACCCACGGCCTCAGCCCACACACAAGCCTCCTGCACCGCCCAGCAGGGCCATCAAGCTCCGCCTGCCTCTTGTGTGGCAACAGCAGCCCCAGGGAGGGGCCCTGGGGACTGGGGACCATTCGCCAGCATCCATGACTGCTTCAGGGGTGCCCAGAATACCAGCTGCATAGACCAAGCTGGAGTCAGAGCTACTAGGTGTGCCTGGGCCAGGGGCCAGCCCCGCCACGGCAGGACATGGGGGGTGTGGGGAGGCAGACGCCATGGCCACTGCGGAGCACCTGGCTGCAGGCGGGGAAGTGCCCAGGGCCCCGGGGACAGGAGTGCTCTGGGCATGGCTCTCTCCCTGTATCGCCTCTCTCTGCTCGGGCACTGGGGACCCCATCCCCTCCCCCGACCCCAGGGTCTCTGCAGAGAGGTCTGTAGCCTGATGGAGTGAGTAGCTGTGCCTGCGCTGGGACACACGTGTTCACCCGCAGAGAGCAGGAGGCCGGTGGCGCAGGCTCCACACACACAGCCGAGCGCCTGTCAGGGAGAGGGGACCACAGACAGACTGCACACTGCAGAACACAGGACAGAAAGCAGTGCCCGATCCGATCCTCAGACTGCCCAAGGTGTCTGTGCCCCGGCCCTGCCCCCGCATGGATCAAGTTGGGGAGCGCGAGGCTGAGCCCTGTTCCCAACCTCCCGAGCGTGCGCACAACACCCCAGGCACGTGTCCCAGGGAGGGAGCGCCAAGACCCACCCCTGCTCTGCCGCTGGGGCCCATCCCCCCACTTTCTGGGTCAGGATGGGGCACAGGGGAGGGAGCAACAGCGCAGTCCTCACCGAGGAAACCAGGTCCCTGCTCCACTGGGAGCAAGCTCTGGTGTCCTGGTCCCCTTGTCCCCAGAGATGGGCACACAGGGTGGAGAAAGGCCAGAGCCTGGGGGCCCTGGGGCTACCGTCACAGCCACCAGACCAACCAGGAAGGCGTGTGCAGGGCAAGATGACTTCCCACAGCAAATTTGGGCACCCTAGAACCTTCTAGAACCCAGGACCACTGTCTCCATGATCCTGGCTCTTGGAGGTGAGGTGCCATCTCTGGGCTGTCCCCACCATGGGCTCAGGGAAGCCAGGCCTCTCCTAGGGCGGAAGTGGCGGTGGCTGGCATCACCTTCCTCAAGGGTGGGGCCTAGGTGTTGACCCCAGGCCCTGTACGCATCCCACTAGGAGCGTCACGTGACGGCCAAGGCGCCCTTTGTCCCTGCATCCTGAGACTGAAGGAGACGGGCGAGGCTCTGAGACGGCAGCAGGGCCCAGCTGGGCCCAGGAGGCAGGCGGCCTCAGAGGCACTGTGTTCCTCTCTGCCCAAGAGTCCGATGGTGAGAGGGTGGCCCTGATGTCCCCCCGTGGTGGGTGAGGCCCGGGAAGCCAGCAGGACCAGCTGCCCAGACTGTGCTGAGAGAGCTTCCCCTGGACTCAGCAGCTGGGTGGGCTCTGCAAGGCCCCTGACCGCCCCGTCCACTCTCCCTGGTGGGGGGTGCAGCAGGCAGGCACACAGGACCCTTCTGTGGAATCTGGCCCGGCAGTGCCAGTGGCCACCACTAGAGGGCGCTGCTGCAGGCCAGATGAGCCGCCCAGCACCCGGCAGAGGTGTCCTGGGTCTCTCTCCCACCCCTTTGAAAGTGCTTCTCTGGACAAGGGGGGGGGGGTAAATGCAGGGCGGAGAATGAGCAGAGAGGGACGCAGGAGGGTGAGACGGAAGGGAGCAGAGCACAGGAGCCCCAGGCGACGACGGCATTACAGGGTGTGGGGTGTCCTCTCCTCCCCATCCAGCCTTGCCCCAGGCTCTGGACTCCACTGCCAGGGGCTGGACAGAGATGGCAGCAAGGGGGTCAGGGGACCTCCATGTGGCTTCAGAGGGGAGCCCGCCCCTCCCAGCAGGTGCCTGCCGACCACACAGTGTGGCCCACATGCACCCCTCGGATCCCAGATCCAGGACTGGGGATGGAGACGCTGGGCCAGTGCCAGCACACACGCCCATCGCATTCAGGCTGAGGATTCTGGGGCCTCAGGTGAGCGGGCAGGTGAGCGGGCTCTGCAGGAGCCAAGGTGCTGAGTGGCTGGTGTCCCCCGTGGGCAGTGAGCACACCTGGAGGGGCCAGGTCCCCCACCTCCCGGGAGGCACTGTCCCTCTCCCACCTGGCCACCTCGGCCAGCTCAGCCACTCCTCCACTCAGCCTAAGCTGGCGTGCATTCCCCGATGAGAGCGCCTGAGGTCCTTCACCTCCCGCCCGCCCCCTGGCAGCCAGAGCGGCCCCTACGCTGTCAGGGGTGTGATGACGATGACAGCAACCTGAGGAGAGGCGGACATTCCCACCGGACTCTCCCTCCACACACGGTGGGCAGCCGGTCACAGGGCCGCGTCACAGAGCAGAAAACAGAGGCACACTAGAGGTAGGGGACTTGCCAAGGTGGCCCCGTGAGTGGGTGGGCCGGGCTGGGGGCAGCGCTGGTGTGAGGCCAGGTGGGGTGGGGGCTGACAGGGCAGCGAGGCCAGGGGGCTTTCTTCCCACTGGCAGGGGAGAATCCTGACCCAGCCCTGGGCTCTGCTGACGACCAGAAAGGGTCCTGGGGACCATGGCCACACGCAGGCTAGAGCCAGGGTCTGTCTCCCCAGGCCCAGTGGGGGCCCCGTCTGCTCCAGGAAGGAGCTGGCTGGGAGGCGTGGGGAAGGAGCAGGGGCCCGGGCCTAGGCGGGACCCGTGTCCAGCACCTTCCATGCCTGGGGCTGCACGGGACGAAGGGTCCTTTCCTGCCGCAGCAAACGCCACCGCCTGGCCCGAGGTCAGAAGAGAGCTGGGTGTGGCCACGCACCCGGGAAGCGTGCGCAGGACGCTCAGAGCTGAGTGTGCGTGGTGCGCTGACCACGCACCCCGGCTGACTCGCCCAGACGTCCCCTCGCCTGGCGTGGGCTCACTGCTGGGTGAACCTGCTCCCGTGTGCGCCCCTAGCCATGTGAATACATTAATGCATCCTGCGGGCACGCAGTCCCGGGAGGGCCAAGACGGAACACAGCAGAGGCACCTGCGGTCCCCACGCCCCCACGCCCACATCCCTGGGGAGCCTCGAGGTGTCATCGGAGAGGTTCTTGCGCCCTCAACGCTCCATCCCATCCACCTGCGGGCTGTCAAATGCCCACCACTGTCACTGCTTCTGAAGACACCGCGGCCAGTAGCAGGTGCTGGTTAGGATACTGGGGTCCGGAGGAAGCCACTTGGGGGGTGGTTTCTCTCAGAACACAGCTACTGTCACCAGTAGCTGGATAGGGGCACGGCACGGGTAGGCACACCCACACACACACGATGCACGTGGACACACACATACACGCACCCACACCACACACCCATGTGCCCATGCGCAGCCACGCACACACACACACACACGCGCGCGCGTGTGTGCGCGGCTGCGAGGAGCAGTGGGGAGCCTCTTCTCCCCTTACACTGCCCTCAGCATCTTCCTAGAAGTCCCTGTAGGGGCGGGGCTCTGTGACACTGCAGTGGCAATCCCGGCCGGAATGGGCTGCCTCGCGGGAGTCCCCTAATTTAGCTTTCTCCGCTCTCACTGAGCACCTGGGACCTTCCCTCAGGGCTGCTCAGAGCCCGAATCTAGACCGGAGCTGGGGGCCGCATCCTCCCTCCCTCGGCTCTGGGGAAAACCCGACGGCCACAGGGCTGAGGTGCTGCTGCAGGCTCGGGGGCTGTGGTCCCCAGCCCACTGACAGGTAGGAGCCGGGGCTCCCACAGACACGCGCTCCCCACGACGTCCTCGGCCGCAGCGACGGGGCGCTCATTCCCCTCCTGGGACCCTGTGAACCTGGACCCTCGGGCGTCTCCTCCCCAACATCCCACTTTCAGCGGGCATTGAGGTGTGACCGAGAAGCAAGCCTCGGGGACGTCAGGCTGGGGGCCCCGGCGCAGCCCACCCTCACGCGGGCGGCACGTCACCGGACCCTGCAACCAGGGACACTGGCTGTGTGACCTGGGCAAGCCACCAAGGCACCATGGAGGAAGGGACTGGCAGAGCTCAGCTCCCGGCTGATGCCCCCACGGTGCCGGGAGGACACGGAGCCCGGCCACAGAGGCCACAATAGACCCAACCTCCGGGAAGTCCCTTTCTCCCCCTGACAAATCCTGGGAGGAGGCACAGGGAGGCAGTGCGCTCAGGAGGAGGCGCGGCTCCGGGTGCGAGTCCAGCTCCCCTGGCTGTGTGGGCCACAGGAAGGCAGAGGAAGACTCAGACCCAGACTTGGGTCCAGGGCCCAGTACTCCAGGCAGGTGCCCCAGCCAGCCCAGCTGGCCTGCGTCCTTGTCTAGAAAGAGGGGTGGGGTGGCTTCAGAGGAGATGGCTCTGGGCCGGCGCCTGGGGGCCGGGCAGACATGGAGGCCCCACTGAGCACCGGCAGAGACCATCATCGCTGGGGCCGCTGCCGCGTCTACGCCACGGCCCCGAGCATCCCTTCTCCCTGTAAGCCTGGGCCTCTCATGGATGCTGGCCCAGGACACTCACCTTGGACTGGACAAGTCTCGGGGTGGGCCGGAACGTAAGACACAGACCCGGCCTGAGCCCCGCCTCCCTCCCGCTCCCATTAACAGCTCACAGAGGCCCACAGAAGCCCCCCAAGCCCAGCCCAGGAAACTCAGCCCAGTGCCCCCAAATGGCCCCGGGCTTGGGCAGAACTAGTCTCCCAGGACTTCTCAACCCTGCCCCAGGGCGGCCCCTGCCCGCGCTCAGCCACTGCTTACCCAACATGCCAGTGCGGCTGGGGCCGCGTGCTGTCCTCGCCGGCACCACCCAGCCTGTTGAGCGATGGGGACGGGCTGCGGGGCCCAGGGATGTAGCTCGCGAGGGTCTTCACAGCGCTCTCGGCCTTGCCGGGCATCTGCTGGAGCAGCTGGGGCGAGAGGCTGCGGTGGGCGGGGGCCGTGGGGCCCACGGCCCAGGCGGGCGCGCTGGCATTGAGGTTGTTGTCACTGTTGGAGCGCAGCAGGACCCGGGGGGCAGCCAGCGTGTTGGGGGGCCGCCGCCTGCGGTTGGAGTAGGCCGGGGCCTCTCGGAAGGGCACTGGGTGAGAGAGGATGGGGAGAGGTCAGTGCAGCCAGAGGTGGGGCGCCGGGAGACCCCAGCAGACCCGGGAGAGGCGGCCGGGCACGCCGGCAATACCCCCGAACACAGAAGCAGAGACAGACAGGTGGAGACCAGGCCCCGATCGCACAGAAGCCCAGCCGGCACCCAGATGGAAGGAACTCAGCCGAGTTTCCATCTGGCCAGCGCCCACCGCCGACTCAGAGCCACTGCCGGGAGCCCGAGCAGGGTCTCCGTGAGAGGCGGCTTTGCTCCGCAAACTCAGACACGACGGCCTCAGAGAGCCCCGGGAAACATGCATTACCCTCAAGTCCCACTTCCCATGGACCTCTGGGAGTGTCCTTGTGTTCCTGTCCTAACCCAGGACCTCAGGGGTGACAGCATCAGCAGACGGGTCTTTAAGTGAAAGCAGGGCCACGCGGGTGGGCCCGCATGCAGTGACAGGTGTCCTTATAGGGACACAGACACACGCAGAGGGACGACCAGGGCAGGACACAGGGAGGACACGCCGTCTGCAAGCCCAGGAGAGAGACCTCGGGGGCAGCCGGCCCTGCACACCTGGCTCTCAGGCTGTAGCCTCCGGGCCCGGGGACGGGGACCGTCCGTGACCCTCGGTTCTTTCAGCCCTGGCCTGTGAGATCTGAGCCTCCAAGTCTGCCAGTCAGACCCGACTCACTGCACCCCAACTGAGCCCTCTCTGTGCCCCATCACACGGGCGCTGGCTGTGTGCAGCAGCACAGGGTGGACACGCGCGTCCTACACAGAGGCCAGGCCCTGTGCCGCTGAGTTCTGTGTGCCCAGGGACTGAGAAAGAGCACAGTGTCCACACCCCAGCTGCCTAGAGGACTCAGGCTGGGCCAGAAACCCAAAGTATTGTCTGAAAGATTGGGGCGCCCCCCAAGAAACAGCCACCTGGCCAGAGACGATGCTCCCTTCCCGGCCCACACTGCCTGGGGCAGTGGCCACGCTGGCCACAGGAGCCACCCCTGGTGCAGTCACAGTGCCCATCTGGCAAGTTGGAAGCCACACAGCTGAAGGAAGCACGTCCTCTGGGGGGCACGGACGTGGGGAAGGCACCTGGGTGTCCTCAAGGAGAAGTTACAGAGCTCAGGACAGCATCCCGGATGCCCGTCTGCCGCTGCTGTCCAGAGCCAGAGTTGGCCGTGAGGCACATCACGGGCACCAAGGACACAGCACCATTCAGAGCCTGGACAGCGGGGCTGCACCATACAGAGCCTGCTGGTGCACACACACCTGGATGGCGGGGTGCACGGGGAGAGAGGCAACCCTGGGTGGGGGGGGCTCACGGGGACAGAGGTGGCCCTGGAGGGTGTACGGGGACAGAAGTGGCCCTGGTGGGGCTCACAGGGACAGAGGTGGCTCTGGGGGAGTCTCATGGGGGCAGAACTGGCCCTGGCAGGGTTCACGGGGACAGAGGTGGCCCTGGGGGGGCTCATGGAGACAGAACTGGCCCTGGTGGGGCTCACAGGGACAGAGGTGACTCTGGGGGGCTCATGGGGACAGAAGTGGCCCTGGCAGGGTTCACGGGGACAGAAGTGGCTCGGGGGGGGGGGGGCTCATGGAGACAGAAGTGGCCCTGGCAGGGCTCACAGGGACAGAGGTGACTCTGGGGGGCTCATGGGGACAGAAGTGGCCCTGGCAAGGTTTCGGGGAACGAGACAGAGGGGGGTGGGGGGGGCTCATGGAGACAGAAGTGGCCCTGGCAGGGCTCACAGGGACAGAGGTGGCCCTGGTAGGGTTCACAGGGACAGAGGTGGCCCTGGGGAAGGCTTATGGGGATAGAAGTGGCACTGGGGGGTCTCATGGGGACAGAATAGGCCCCTGAGGGGGCTCACGGGGACAGAGGTGGCCCTGAGGGGGCTCACGGGGACAGAGGTGGCCCTGGGGGGCTCACGGGGACAGAAGTGGCCCTGGCAGGGTTCACGGGACAGAGGTGGCCCTGAGGGGGCTCACGGGGACAGAGGTGGCCCTGGGGGGCTCATGGGGACAGAGGTGGCCCTGGCAGGGCTCTGCACCCTCCCCGTCTCCCCAGGATGCAGGACAGCACGGGACAAAGAGCTGGGAGCCAAGCCCTGGAAGGCGCACCTCCCTTGGGCATCACCCTCGGGAGCACGGTGCCTCCCTCTCGGCTGCTCCCTGTGGAGCCTTTGCGGGAGGGAGATGGTCAGCAGGAAGCCGGCCCCCACCCCCGTGGGGACCTGCACACTGCTCCTCACTTTCTAGAGCAGATAAACTCACACACAGCAGCCAGGCAGCCAGGAAAGCGGCCACACAGTTCCAGGAGGAAGCCCTCACGCTGGGTCACGCGTGTTGTTGCTCACGAGGGACCACACACGGGTGTGCCTCTCTCTGAGCAGAGCCGAGGACGAGGGTGTAGGAACCCAGGAGCTGCAAGAGGCACCTGGCGCGGGGGTATTGGGTGGCTGGGGGTCGCCTGCCATACAAGGGGCAGGGAGTGGGCGGACGGGAAGGAAAGACCTTGCAGAGGGCTGGAGACCCCCAATCTCAGAGCGCAGGTCCCTAACACTCACAGGTACCACAGGCTGCAGGACCAGGTGGGCGCGAGAACCCAGATCTCAGGCGGCAGCAGCAGCCCCGGAGACCCTGGGTTCTGACGCCACAGACAAAGGACCCGCACCTGACACCCAGCTGCCCCGTCCTCCTACACTACCATCCTTCCTTCCTGATGCCCACGGCAGGGAGCGTGCTCGGCGCCCTTGGCGGAAAGCAGACGGGGCGTGGGGGAGTCGCACCGGGGCTGAGCACACCAGGCAGGCGGGTCAGAACTCCCTGCACACCGGGCCCCCAGCTGAAACGCAGGTGCTGGTCCAGGAAGCCCCCAGGGGGCGGATCTCTGCGGTTCAGAGAAGGAGCAGCAAGGAGGGGGCTGGGCTGTGGCATGAGCTCCACGGGAGCGGCCAGGAATCTACTGCCAAGCACACTGTCCCCCAAAGACCAGGCAGCGCCTCAAAGCAACCCCAGAGGTGACGTTAGGGGACAGATCTTAATGAAAACCTCCCGGCTTCACGACCGACATTCGGATCCCACGACTTCCCGGAGCCCCGGGGACTTCTTCGGGATTGATTTTACGACGAGCCTGGGCTGGGAGGGAGGCAGCACCCCCCCCCTCGCCCGGTTTCTCAGAAGGAGCCCGTTCCTGCGCCTTCTGGCTCCTCCAGACGGGAGCCTGCCGGCACACTGAGCCGCCACCGTCCCCGGGAGGGCCGACTTTTGTGAAAAGGGTTAAAAATAACTCTTCCTGTCGGAACATGATTAATATTCCTCCCCACTGCTTCCTCCTTTCGGGCAAACTCCAAGTGGGTGGGTGTTTTCTTTGCTGTCTTACATGCGTTCATGTACACGCCTCCCCCACCACACAGATCACACGAGGCGTGACAAAAGGCGTGTGTACTTTTCCAGCCTTCCACGCTGCACACTCCTTGCAGCCCGTGCACCCCTAAGTCCCGGGGGCGGCCGGGGAGCCCTCTGCACCCTCCCCCGCCACCCGCTCCGGGTCACTGGCACACGGGAGCCAAAACTTCCTCCCAGTTCCTCAGCGCCCCGTTGCTGGCGTGCCTTATGCACACGCTAAGGAAGAACAATTCTGCCAGGGGCGCCAGAGGATGAAGATGGTGAGAAAATAAAAATGCACTTCCAGCCGTGCTCACAGCCAAACCGGCTGAAACCACCCCCGGCACAGCATGCTGAACCCCCGGCGGTCCCAGAGCACCCCCCCCCCAACTCCGGAGATCCGAGGGTCAGTGAGAAGCAGCCGGCTCCCACACCCACGCCCCGCAGCTCCCTCCTTACCTTCCTTCTTGGTGAAGGCATTTAACAAAGACTTCATTTTCCCTCTGACTCTGGCAGTGGTCTGCTCATTATATAACCTTCTTGGTGGGGAGGAAGGCGAGGCCCGCGGCCCGGCCCCTGGGTGCTGGAGCGCTGGGGACCCGGGGAGCGGCGGCGGCAGTGGCGGCGGGCGTCGGGGCACTGGGCGCTCCCGAGCATCGCCGGGCACGCCAGCCCCAGCGTGCCGGCGGCGAAGCCCACCCCATATTCTGTCTGTCAGCTGGGAGCCGACCCTGCGTAGTCTGGGGCTGCTCTCAGAGCCGGCTAGCCCTCGCGGCGCTCGCCGTGGGAGCTGTGCTACTCGGCTTTTATGCTCGGGGCAGCGAGGAAGAGGCGCTGCGCGGGGTTAGCCCGGATCAAGCATCCTGAGCTGGCGGCCAGGAAATCCCAGGAAGCGCTTGTGAGCCGGAGCCCCAGATATCCACGGAAACTCGGGCGGCGGCTGCTGCGGCGGCTGCTGTGTGCCATGCGTCTGTGGCTAAATATAATGCACTGTGCTCTTCTCTCTCTCCCTCTCTCTCTCTCTCTTAATCTCTAAAGAAAAAGCCAAGTTTATTTGTCAGCCTCGCAGATGTAAGAATCAGGAGAATAAGCGCCACATAAGCCTCACGCCAGACGCACAGGAGCCGGGCGGCCGCGCCAGCCTCCGGCGGTAGCTGAGCGCGACCTATATTTCCATTCAAAGAATCAGACACAAGTACCCATTACTTCTCTGGCTCACCCCATCATGGTAATTACCCTGGAAAAAACAGATGCCACCCCCTCGCACTTTTTCTTTCTAAAGACAGAGAGGAAAATCATTACACTGCAACACAGTCCAGGGTGGCCTTGATTCCAGGCAGCTGGCAAAAAAAAAAAAGAAAAAAAGAAAGAAATGAGCAATTCAGAGTCCCTGCACGCATTGCTTCAGCGTTGCTACTCCACCCCGAGTCCAGGGGCAACGCGGCAAGGGGGCCCTGTGCATGCTACGGGTGAAGCCGGCACAGGGATGGGAGCCCGCGCGGGTGTGCCCCGCGCTGCAGGGGGTCAGGGGTCTTCCTGCCACTCAGCGGAACCCCCCGGGTGCCTCTGCGGCTGTAATTAAGTGTGCGCTTCTCCGGTTGCTAAGA